TCTCTCTCTTTCTCTTTCTCTTTCTCTCTCTCTCTCTCTTTCCCTCCCTCGATTATTATTTATTTATCTCTCTCTCTCTTTCTCTCTTTCTCTCTCTTTCTCTCTATGTATCGATTGCTATTGCTTTGTTTTTCTGTATTATATATATCTCTTTCTTTATGTATCCATATCCTTGTTTATCTCTCTCTCTCTCTCTATGTCTCTTTTTCTCTCTCTTGCTCTCTCTCTCTCTCTCTTTCTCTGTGTGTCTCTCTCTCTCTGTTTCTCTAAATCGATGTTATCGTTATCTCCCCCTTTTCTCTCTCTCTCTCTCCCTCTCTGTCTCTCTCTCTCTCTCTATCTCTCTCTCTTTCTCTCTCTCTCTCTCCATGTATATACACACATGGAAATATATATACACATATATATTTATATACATACATACATACATAAATACATACATACATACATACATACGTACACCTGTCTCTCGCTCTTTCTCTCTCTCTTTCTCTCTATCTCTCTCTTGTTGTTTCTCTCTCTCTCTGTATATGTGTATATATATACAGATGTGTGTTGTAATTATGTGTGTAAACCTTCCCACGCCAACGGGCCGGTGGCTAGCGGCGCTAGCAACCACCAGCCGGAGAGGCGCGTGCCAGGACCTCCGGCCGCGCCGCGACCCCCCCGAAGCCTCCGGAAGCCTCCCAGCGGCCCTCGCGGCCTGCGGGGCCGACGGGCCGGCGCCCAGACCAGGGGCCAGGGCCATCGGGGCCACAGGCCTCCGAGGGCCCGACGGGCAGGAGTGACTAGAAGTGACCTGGAAAGGACGACGTCCGCTAGAAACAAAACGAATTGGGCGGGAACTTATCAGAGGAAGAATCCCCGCTGCCGAAGCCTGAGGGGGAGGGTCAGAGCGGAGGGGCGGCCAGCCTCTGCACAGCATGGGGCACTTCACGGACTCGCAGACTTGGCCAAACGGACACACCTGCCGCGCATTAAGATCTCCCATCCTTGCACAGCTCCAGGTGTGTATCCGTCGATGAAAGACGCAGGCAAACTCTAGAATCAGCAAATGAGATCGAGAGCCAGTGCGCCCTGCATTGCGTGGGCGGCGGCCTGCGCCACATATATATATATATATATATATATATATATATAACATACATATACATATATGTATGCATATATGTATATGATTTGGCCGTCGCGGCGGATGCAGATCTACGCGGCATGGTCGCGGTCTCCGCGCTTTGGTGCGACGCGAAGTCGCCGGCATGAGTGCCGAGGGAACCGCGGGGCTGCAGGCGGTGGAAGCTGGGCAGCCTCTTGAGACATCCTCGAGCTGGCACGCCGCCCGCCTGCCGATTGCGCCGAGCGGGGCAGCCCCGTCGACCCAGCGGGCAACCAGCTCGACGGCGACAGGACAGCATGTGATACCACCTGTGCCGCGACGAAATGCCCGAGGGCTTTACATTGAGGACGGCGCCCTGCTGACGCTGCAAAGTGAAAAGCTCCGTCGCACGCAGCAGCCCTGCGAAGCCTGGGGCTAAATGCGTCGACGCCCCGGGCCCCGCACTCGATGTGAACGGCCGCGAGCCCCCGCGCATGCGGCCCGCGCCTCCCCCGCGCCTTGAGGAGGCGCCACGACAACCCTGAGCTCTGCTTTACGGAGGAGAAAAAGAAGCCAATAGAGCCGACTGCACAGTTGGCCTTGCTGACGGGCTGGGCATCTCCACAGCGCGTCGATGCACTGGGCGACCTCCTCATGGACGTCGCTGAGCCAGAGGGTCGCAGGCCAGCGGCGCCACTAGTCGAAGGGCATCCCGTCGGCGGCTCAGTAGAGCCCAATCGCGGCCATGACCCGCAGCACCTTCAGCCGAACATGGCGCTTGGCCTGGTGCGCCACCTTTGCCACTGATGGTGTGTCTGAAGACCTTCTGGGGCTCTTGGAACGGCTTGCCCTCGCACTGGCCCCCCCACGGTCGTCTGGGCGGCGCGTCGACTGGGCTGTCCGTCGCGACGTGCCCTAGCTTGGCGTCGAGATGCTTGAAAAGCCGCGGTCGCGCCAGCAGGGGCGCGACCCCTGCCTGCAGCTCGCGCCCGCCGGCGCACGCGTCGCCCCCGTCCGGCCACTTCAGCGCGACCACGACCCACCAATTCCATTTGAAATGATGATGCCCGCCCTGGGCCATGCCCGCAGCTGCCATGGCCAGCCAACGCGCACCCCGATGTCGCTCCCGCTACGGTCGCCGACGGCGAACAGCTCGCCCGGGAAGAGCGACGCGCGCGGGCTCTATCGCACTCGGCAGCGCCCTTCGTGCATCAACCGACCTCACTCCAGGATCGCGGGCAAGTCCGCCCCCCGAACATGCCCACCTCGGAGGGGCCCCGGCCGAGCCGCCCCCGCGCCAGAAGCAGCCGCTGCGCAAGCCAGGTGGCAGACTACACCGAGTAGGGGTTGCCCAGAACGAAGTGCCTGACGTTGGGGTCCGCGCGGACGACTCTGACGCAGCGCTGGCCGAACTCCAGGGGGCCCCAGTTCTCTGCGCGCGCGGCCCCCGAAGCCAGCTGCACCAGTAGCATCGACGCCGCCCCGTGGGGACGTAGACAAAAGGGCACAGCTTGACTTGCACCGCGCCCACCCTGGGTGACCTCGCCCCTGTCGCCGAGGCTCATCAGGGCGACATCCTCGACGAAGGTGGCGGCCATCTCCTCGAATTGCTTGCGCAGCTGCCCGCTGACGTGAGGCGCCTCGAAGCAGAGCCCTGCGCGCGGCCCAGGAGACCTGAAGGCCCTGGCAGGGGCTCCAAACACCCCATGGACACGCGCCGCGAAAGCTGCGAACGCGTCGGACAACTTCACGACGTCGGACTCGGCGACGGGCCCGACGTCGCCCCAATCGAGGGCCCAAGGCCACCACGATCGGACCACTCGCCAGGCGGCCTCCGTCTACCTCACTGCAGACCACGCCGATGGCGTTGCCGGGCAGCCCGGGCACCGCGACCGCGAGCGCCGCGATGCCGTCGAGGGGGCTCACGACCAGCACCTTGGGCTGAGCACGACGCCGCGCGTCTGGGCCAGCACTGACCGCCCGCCGATCGGCCGAGGGTCGGCCTGGCGCCCGCATGGACAGCCTCTTGCTGTTCGACCGCCAGGAGGGGTCAGGCCCGTGGAGGCGCCGACGCCGCCCCCCCCCGCTCTCCGAGGCATCGAAGACCGTCTCGACACGCGTCTACGAAGGCTCAAGATCGGCACGGGCGATGGGGGGAGTAGACGACACACGTGTTCAGTTCATGCAACGCGCACATAGCGACGCGGCCTCCCCCACCTTGGTCGCGAGCTCCCCGACCGAGCTGAGGAGGCTGACGGGCGGGCGCCGAACCTCCGCCGCTCTGACAGCACGTCCAAACTGCGCGAGCGTGAAGAGCCACGGGCATTAGTGATGGCCGAAAGCGTGCAAGGGGTACCGCGCGAGCTCCACTGCCCCCTCGATCAGCGCCCTGATCACGCCGGCCTGGCCATCGAGAGGGGCGCCCATGGTCGCCCATCCTCTCCAGCTGCACCTGCCTCGCGGGGCCCTTCACCTCCGCGTGGCAACTTCGGCCCTCGCATTGGCCTGCCGCAGAGCGAGCTGCATCTCGCCTGGGCGCCCACGACGCAGTAAGCATTGGCGGCGTAAGGGATCTCAGGGGCGTGAGGGCCGCCCATGCCGGCGCGCAGCCGCGCGCGCGCGCGGTCGCCGTCGCGCCAGGGACAGGGCTGGCTACTCGACCCACGGGGGAATGGCCCGACGCGCGACCCAGACAAGGCGGTCGTCTGGCAACCCCGCAGAGCTTGCAGACATTGGACATTGTCAACGAGACGGCCACCCCCCATTCCCGCCAGGCTGGGGGCAGCCTCCACACGTAGAAGGCGCAGCTCTGACCGTCGCTGCCCCACGCCGTCTCGCACCGACTAGGCGGGCGGGCGCTGGCCCAGCAGGTGGAGGCCGCGAGCGCCGCCACGCCCTCCGCGACGTTGGAGAGGTGGTCGTCGGAGGACACCGCGCTGAAGATCAGGCGCACGGGGCAGCGCAGGCCCTCGATCGGCTGGCCCTCCCTCTCGCGGGAGAAAAGACCATTCCGGGCCGCATGGCCACGCGGGGAAAGGTTGTCGTCCTCTCGCACGACGCCCAGGATGCCAAGCCTTGTGCTCGGCTATCTCGCCCCAGTCCTCGAGCCTCTCGCAGTTGGCCCGCGCCCTCGGCGCATCCGCGGGCCACTCTGAGGTCGGGGAGGTGACGACCTCAGAATCCAGAAGCCACTCGAGGCGATGGTCGTGAACAAGCTCCTCCGTCTGGCGCGGCGCTGCGTGCTTCGTTGGAGACCTGGGACGGGCTCCGCAAGTCGGGTCGGCAAGGCCTCGACCTGCTCCTCCCCCGCGCAAGTTCACCCTGAGCCGTCTTGTCCCAATCGATGCTCGGCTGCTCCGCCAGTGGGCCCCCCGCGAAGCCATCGACGAGCGCGACGATGGTCTTGCACGCGGCCCTCTACATGAGGCGCAGCACGGGTGAGTCTCCAGGGCCGCGGGTCACCTCTGTAAACGTACTCGGAGCTGAGAGACAGCGTTGCCAGGCATTTCCGTACATTACGGGCGATAAGGCGGCCTTCTGCACGAAGCCGCTGTCGCCTCCTCCTCGGCTCGTCCAGCGACGCGACCCACGCTCATGCGATCGAGAGGTCGGGGAGGGCCATCCGCAGTGGGTCGCGCGACCTTACCTGCGACCCTCCAGTCGCGGGAAGGCGTGGATAAACTCTCTGCAGAATTCCTGAATCCACGAAACGGCCGCCAGCGCAAGGCGACCACGGCGGCGCCGAAGTCCAGCATCGGATAAAGCTCCTGCAACAGCTGCCCCCATATTGTGTAGAGACAGAACCGATAGCAGACTGTCAAGTCGATGGGTCACGACGCACGCAAGTCAAGATTCACCGCTGGCCCTCGCCGAGCGGCCGGGGACGGTCCTGCCGCCCGCCCGCCTCCTACATCGGCTCCCCGAGGCGGATGCCGCAGGCGCCCCGCGCGTCGCCCTGCCCCCTCGGGCGGGCGGCCCTGGCGGTCCTCCAGGGGGTAGCCTTGGCCGTGCTCTTCTCCTGGTCGTCCTCGCGCACCAGCTGCGCGGTCCGCTGCCGGCCCTGCGCCGCGCTGCCCAGAGCCGCCCCGCCGCCAAGGGGCAGCGGGGTGTCCCCGACGAGGTTCGCGTGCGTCGGGGCGCCAGGCCGCGGCCGCGACCTCTGGGCCTGATCCCCGCCAGGCTGGCCAGCGGGAAAATGGTCGCCCCTCGGCGGCCCCCTTTCCTGGTCGAAGCCCCAGCTCCGCCTGGGCTGGGCGAAGAGCTCCGAGAGGACCGCGCGCACGATCTCGCACTCCTCCGCCTTGAGGGCCAGCTGCTCGTTCGGAGGGGAAAAGAGCTCCAGCCAGCGCGCTCCAGACCACTTCTTGTCAAGCCACAGCAGCTGGAGGGCCAGAAGGCGCTGGCTCAGCACGTCGAGGGCATAGGCCGTCTTGCCCGACAGTACAGCATGCGCGGCCTCGTACACCGCACGCACCACGCAGTAGAATTCGATACAAGTCGACACGATGGGACTCTGAGGAATGACCACATCCGACAGATACTTGACGAAGGCCGGTGGAAACTCGTCTGGAACTTCCTCCCCAACCTGGGCAGTGACACGCTCGCTCGTTCTGCCGATAGCCTGCGCCGACAGTCAGCGAAGAAACATGACGGCAATAAGGCTGGAGTGCTCCCGACGTGTGGCGGGGCCTGCGGGCACCGCTCCGCCACCACTGCCGCAGGAGTCGCTGAGCATCGACTCAGTCGCACGTCGGCCGAGCTGCCCCAGCTGGCGCCGCCCTCGAGCACCAGCTGGGCCAGAGCGCTTCAAGCAGGGCTAGGATCGGGATAAATCGCTCCAGAGCGTTCCGGAGCGCTCTCCGAGCGTTCCGGAACGCTCTGGAGCGGCCGCGGCGCCCAATACATCCTCCAAACCCGCCGATTCTCAGAGATTTCGAGTTGTCCCGATCCGATTTTGTCCCGATCTTCGCGTCGTTTTAGCGCTCCCGCCTCCTCCGCGACCGCGCCAGCGGTGGGGCCGCCCGCGCCGTCGACCCCCCTCTGCCTGGAGCACGCCGCGCGGCCCTCTCTCGGCACGCTCCTGCACCACGCCGGCGAGCGGCCGCCTCGCCGTGCCACGGGGAGGAGCAGGCCCGGGCGCACCAGGCCCCTCCAGGGCCTCCTCTGTGGACGGCCCCGCGCCTGGGCCGGGCTGCAGCGCAACGCGCAGTCGCCCCGACCGAGCGCGCAGGTCGGCCCCTCCGCGAGGCGGAGGCTCCGCAGCCGACGGCCGCTCGCGGGCGGTCTCTGGCGAAGGAGCCCTCGCCGGCAGAGCCCGCCGGGGGCCTGCAGAGCGCGGCGCCGCCCGCGGGCACCTCGCGTCGGCACGCCCCTCAGCCGCCTCACGGAGGCTGTGCTTTGGCATGCCGCACTCGTCGACCTCAACTGCCTCGACGATCACATTCGTGACGGACTCCAGGCCGAAGTCCTCGGGCCAGGTCGCGTGCGGGTCGATCTCCCTGTACTACGAGTAGAACTCCCCGCCTCGGTGGGGTCCCATGGCGACACACTCTAGGACGTGAGTGTACGTGGCCGCAGAGCTGGGCGGTCTCGTTGCGCATGCCTCGAACGCACAGACATGATACAGCACGCGGCCACCACACACGCGCTCGGCAGGACTGGCCATCCACCCTCCGTGACACTCGCCACTGCGAACCAGCTGCTGACAACTGGCGCGTTGGCCACCGCTTGCTGCAGCAGAACTCACCGTCGGTCCTCGGCACGTGCTCCCGCCGAGCCTGGCCTCGGCCGTCGGAGGCACCGCCGCGGTAGACACTTCCGACCTCGACCAGGTCCGCTGACGACTCGGACTGCTGGTCCGTACCGTCTGACTCTGACTCCACAGGCTCCGCTCCCACGGGCACGCCCGCCATGCGGCGGACGTCTTCAGCCGTGAGCGGCCGACCGGGAGCGGGCGGGGAGGACGGGGGCCAGCAGCTGAGGGACGACCGTGCCAGAAACAAGCACTGAACCAACGAATGGATCTACGGATCTCGACCTCAGGTTTCACCTGAGCTCTCAACGGATGCGGCGTTACTCGGATTTCGCGCGTTGTGCTACAATCGTGCCGACAATCACTCACAACTATATATATATATCATATGTATATATACAAGCATGCATATACATACACACATGCATGCATGCATGCATGCATGCATGCATGCATGCATGCATACATACATACATACATACATACATACATACATACATACATATACATGCATGTATAAACACATACATGCATACATACATACATACATACATGCATGCATGCATACATACATACATACATGCATACATGCATACATGCATACATGCATACATGCATACATGCATACAAACCTACATACATGCATGCATGCATGCATACATGCATGCATACATACATACATACATTCATACATACAGGCAGAGATACAGGCATGCATGCATGCACGCATGCACACATGCATGCATACCTACATACTTGCGTGCATGCATACATGCATGCATGCAAGTATGCATACATATACACATATATATGTATATACATATATACCTATATGCATGCATACAAACATGCATGCATACATACATACATGCATGCACACGTGCATGCTTTGCATTTACACATGCATGCATATATGCATACATGCATGCATACGTACATGCATGCACACATGCATGTATATATGCATGCATCCATATATACGTATATACACACATACACTCAAGCATGTATGCACGTATGCATAAATATATGCATACATACATGCATAAATACATGCCTATGAATGCGTACATGCATGCATACATCCATCCGTCCGTGCATGCATGTATACATGTGTGCACATATGCATAAATATAGAGATATACATACGCATGTCACGTTCATGAGAGCATATACATGCATACATATGCACATACATGTATGTATACACTGGGCCGTCTCGGGCGCCCCTGGGGCTGTGTTGGAGCCCACTTGGACCGTCATCATCATCATTCTCGTCGTCACTCTCATCATGAATATCATCTTCATTATCTGCCTCCGTCTGCCATCGTCCTCTCTGCTCTCCGACGACCACGACGACCGCGAATCACGGCGACGACGACGACGCCGACAACCAGCACCACCACAACGACAACCACGACGACGATGACCACGACCACGACCACGACCACGATCACGACCACGACCACGACGACGACGACGACGACGACGACGACGAAGACCACCACGACGACGACGACGACGACGACGACGACGCGACGACGACGACGACCACGACGACGACGACGGCGAGCACAACGACGACGACGACCACCACCACCACCACGACGACCACCACGACGACGACGACGACGACGGTCACGACCACGGCCACGACCAGGACCGCGGCGACGACGACGCCGCCGCCGAGGATGACGACGACGACGGCCACGGCGGCCGCCGATGGGCCGCCGAGGGGCCGCCGAGGGCCACGCCGGCCCGGCAGGGCTCCTGCGGTCCACGGCGTCGAAGCGGCCGGCCCAGAAGTTCGGCGAGTGGCCGCCCGGCCTTGGGGGGCTCGCGCGGCGAGCGGCCCGCGCGGAGCATAGGAGGGGGGCCGGCCAGACCCCCTCCTCCTGCTCCTCCTCCTCCTCCCCCTCCCTCTCCTCCTCCTCCTCCTCCTCCCCCTCCCCCTCCCTCCTCCTCCTCCTCCTCCTCCTCCTCCTCCCCCTCCCCTCCTCCTCCCCTCCTCCTCCTCCTCCTCCTCTCCTCCTCTCTCCTCCTCCTCTCCTCCCCCTCCTCCTCCTCCCCCTCCTCCCCCTCCCTCTCCCTCCTCCTCCTCCTCCCTCCTCCTCCTCCTCCTCCTCCTCCTCCTCCTCCTCCTCTCCTCCTCCCCCTCCTCCTCCTCCTCCTCCTCCTCCTCCTCCTCCTCCCCCTCCTCATCCTACTCCTCTTACCCATGCGAGGCCGGAGTGCACCGTCGGCGGAGAGGCGTTTCGCGATGTCCGGCCTTCTGGGGGCCCCATGCGGGGCCTCGGGCCGTCAAGGGACGGCTCAGGGCGAAAAGCGGGCCACGGGGAAGGTGGACCAGAGAGCAAACTACGCCCCTCCCCCTACGGCCCCACGGGCCTTTGCACGTACCATGGATTGCGGCTTACGCTTCTGCGTGGGATACGCTACGGCCCCCGGGGGGCCGCAGCGTAACATGGAGGGCCGTAGGTGGAGGGGTGTCGCTCGTTTATTAATTGAAAATGGGTCGGGACCTCTGGGGGTCGACGTCATGATAGAGGCCTCCTGGATGCGGTCCGAATAGATTGGGTCGGAGGATCGCGCCGCATCGCCGATACATCGGCGATGTATCGGCGATGTATCGGCGATGCACCGGCGATGCAACATCGACATCGCCGGCGCATCGGCGTCGTCGACGTGGAGCAAGTCGGGCTCCACATCGAGCAGCATCGCCGATGCATCGGCGAGGCGGCGCGATCCTCCGACCCCATCTACTCCGACCCCTCCGGGGCCCATGCCAAGAAGCACCCTGCTTGCCTCCAGGGTGCCCTGGGTTTCCTGGGTTTCGACGGTTTTGCCATGGGAAGCGTGACGGTCCCATACCAGAAACAGATGGACGCCCTGTGGTCTCAGGGTTGGGCTCCTTGTGGAAGGCTTCTTGTAGCCGGGGCCCTACTGTAGGAGCCCTAGACATGGGCCGTCATGACGTCGGGGGCCTGCAAGGTGAAGCGAGGCCGCGGCCGCGAGCCAGTCTGGGCGTCGTCGTGTGCCCGCGCCTGCCCCCCGTCTGCACGGTTTCCCCCAGGGCCGTAGGCGACTCGAGGAGGAGGAGGAGGAGGACGAGGAGGAGGCGGAGGAGGGGGAGGAAGAGGAGGGGGAGGAGGAGGAGGAGGAGGAGGAGGAGGAGAAGGAGGAGGAGGAGGAGGAGGAGATGGAGGAGGAGGAGGACCGGTGTAAACCCAGGAGTCATCAACGATGTTGGAGTAAACCCTTCATCCAAGCCCCCTCTTCATAGGCCCCTACAACGGCTCATTTCCACTGAAAGAACCGCTTCGTTGGAAGAGTACCGTCTGAAGACCCTGAAGCATGCCAAAACATTGTTCTCGGGATTCCAAGGCCACGGGTCAACCTGACTGTTGCGTCTTGACGATCCTGAATCGTGCCAGCCAAAACGCGATTCCAAGGACTTCAACACAGAGAACCAACGTAACTGTTGCCCCCGCGTAATCCTGAATCCGTCCAGAACACCATGTCTGGATTTCTGGGAACCTGATGAAATGTTTAAAACGAATGTGCGCGGCGATGAGGCGAGAGCCACATTTGAAAAGAAACCGCCTTCCATCCGTGTAACGGCCACATTTTGAAAGGCACCCGTCCTCAATCCGTGAAGCTCTTGCAAATTTTCACGAAAGCGCGCCGCGCAATGACGAGAGCCACATTTTGAAAACGACCCGCCAACAATCCGTGGTACTTTTGCAAATGTTCCCCAATCAGACCTTGCCTCTGTAGGGGTCCCAGCGGATTGATATGGTTAGATGAGGTGGGCCGCCGATTTCGGTGGCTGGCCTGGGTGGGTGCCTGGTACCCGGGTGCCCAGGTGCCCAGGTGCCCGGGGGTGCCTGGGTGCCCGGGTGCCCGGGTGCCCAGGGGTGCCAGGAGGTGCCCGGGGGTGCCCAGAAGGGCCCAGGTGTGCCCGGGTGCCCGGGTGCCCGGGTGCTCTGTCGCCCTATAGCCCTTATAGCTAGCCCTATAGCCCTATTGCCCTATAGCCCTATTGCCCTATTGCCCTATTGCCCTATAGCCTTACAGCCCTATAGCCCTATAGCCCTATTGCCCCATAGACCTATAGCACTATAGCCCTATAGCCCTCTATCCCTATAGCCCCATAACCCTATAGCCCAAAGCCCTGAAGGCCTACAGCTATAGCCCTATAGCCCTAGCCCTATAGCCTTATAGCCTTATAGCCGTATAGCCTTATAGCCCTATAGCCCTATAATCCAAATAACTCCAGCCCTATAGCCCTATAGCCCTATAGCCCTAAAAAATCGGATTCGGGCTGTGCTCCGGTATCATTTGAAACGAATGCGCGCGTCGCGCTAAGGCGAGAGCCACGTTTTGAAAACGACCGGCCCTCAATCCTTGAAGCTTCTGCAAATGTTTAAAACGAATGTGCGCCGCGCCAAAGCGAGAGCCACATTTTGAAAACCACCCGCCCTCAATCCGTGAAGCTCTTACACATGTTCAAAACGAATGTGCGCCGCGCAATGGCGAGAGCCACAATTTGAAAACGACCCGCCCGCAATATGTGAAACTGCTGCCGAATTTTTGAGCTTCAGAATCATAAAATGGTGAGGACGTCTCAAGCGAAACGCCTGCCCCTTACTAAAAACTGCCCTTGGGGTGCCACAGGGAGCATTTATTTATAAGGAAAAGGAGGAGGAGGAGGAGGAGGAAAAGAGGAGGAGGAGGAGGAGGAGGAGGAAAAGAGGAGGAGGAGGAGGAGGAGGAGGAAAAGAGGAGGAGGAGCAAGCGGGAGCGGGAGCAGGAAGGGGGCTCAGAGGGGTGGGGCAGACCGCGGCATGTCATGGAGCAGCGTGAGGGGGCCGAACGGTCTTACCCCATCCCTGGCTGTGTGGATGAGGCGTGAGTCTGTTGCCCCGGCTGTGTTTGTGTGGTGTTGTTGTTGTTGTTGTTGGTGTTGTTGTTGTTGCTGCTGTTGTTGTTGTTGCTGTTGTTGTTGTTGTTGTAGTTGGTGTTGCTGTTGTTGTTGTTGTTGGTGTTGTTGTGGTGGTTGTTGTTGTTGTTATTATTGTCGTTACTCTTGTTGTTGAACTCGCACTACTGAAAAATAGATTGTTGATCCCCCCATCCAGTGACCATTGCGTTTCGTCC